GCCTTTTAAAGCGTGAGATCACTTTTTGAATTTAAACTTAATCCAAGATTTACCTCATACCCAAATACCCTTACCCTGCCTCCTTTGTACCCTTTCTTTGACGCCCTGCCCCCTGCTCACTCCATCCTCCCTCACTTTCACCAGGCTGAGGCAGAGGGTTGGGGTGCAGGCTCTGGTTTTAGATTAAGGGACTTGGCATCTGAGAGGGGCTCTGAACTGAGCTTGGGGCAGGCCATTAGGTTGCCAGAGGGGTTCTAGGTGCAGGCTCTGGGAGGGCGTTTGGATGTAGGGGTGCTCAGGGCGAGGGCAGGGGCTTGGAATGCAGGAGGGGTTCATGACTGGGGTGGGATTTGGGGATGTGGGCTCCAGTTGGGCCCTGCTTACCTCAGGTGGCTCCTGTGTGGTGGTGCAGTGGAGCTAAGGCAGGCTCACCCCTGTCCTGACCCTGCACCACTCCCAAACGCAACCAGCAAACTCCATCCCAAGTCCTGTTGTGCCTTCTCTCTGCTCTGTGAAGATAGGATACAGAGTGGGAAAAGGGGACATCAGCACCCTCCTCTCCATCTCCTACACAGCAAGCAGGAGGCTCCTTAGGGGACAGCTCCAAGGCAAAGGGCAGGAGAAGCACAGCAGTGTGGGGAGGAGCAGCTGAAGTGCTGGCACTTGATAGCCTCTTTGCCATACCAGTCAGGATCCCGTCAGTAAATCCCAATCTACTGGTTGGTGACCACTGGATTAAGAACTTTGACTTCTCTGTGTTCTATTTTCACATTATCACCAGCTAGTAGAGGCTGTCCATAATAGTCACACCTCTCATAGGTCAGGACTAGCTGCACAATTGTCCCTCTGATGGTCTCTTCTGAGTGCGTCTCTTGAGCTTTCACCTCTCCCGGGAAAAATCATGCCATACTCCCACTCTTAAATTGGGCCCAAGGCTACAGTACCCTATGTACCAACTGTGATTACTCCTCAGGTTTAACTGGATTCATTTATCTGCAGTTCTTCCCATTGGGAGCTGTGACCTGCAGTGAATACATTTACCCAAAACAGCCTTTAAAAAACAAAATGTTGTTTAATCTTAACAATAGGAGCACAGGAACAAGACAGGAGGATTTTTTTTAAAACAATAAAGCAGTTTATATGCATATATCTTATCTAAAGTCTGAATCCTCTCTTACCTAAAACACCCTACCTCTGAAGTCTGGGGTGAGAGGTCAGACTGCTTCCCAACAGTGTTGTTCTCCTCTTCTCCCTTAACTTTTCAAAATTCTCACAAGAGTATGTGTTATTAAACCCCTCTGAGGCTTTGGAACTTTCTCTCCATCCTCTCACAGGGCTCTAGGGGGAAAACATGCCTCTAGAGGGCTAAGAGTATGTCTACACTGGAAAGAAAAATCTGCAGTACCAAGTCTCAGAGCCCAGGTCAGTTGTTTCGGCCTTGAACTACAGGCAGTCCCCGACTTATGTCGGATCCGCAGTTACGAACGGGGCTGCCCCGGAGGACACGGACTGCGGGACCTCGTGGTCCTGCCGCCCGTGTGCTCCAGGGGCTTTCTCTGCGTCTCCCTGGTCTGCAGACCAGGAAGACACGGAGCAAAGCCGCGGAGGACCCAGGCGGCGGGACCGCGGTGCGTCTCGGTCCGCCGCCCGCGTCTTCCTGGTCTGCAGACCAGGAAGACACGGAGCAAAGCCGCGGAGGACCCAGGCGGCGGGACCGCGGTGCGTCTCGGTCCGCCGCCCGCGTCTTCCTGGTCTGCAGACCAGGAAGACACGGAGCAAAGCCGCGGAGGACCCAGGCGGCGGGACCGCGGTGCGTCTCGGTCCGCCGCCCGCGTCTTCCTGGTCTGCAGACCAGGAAGACACGGAGCAAAGCCGCGGAGGACCCAGGCGGCGGGACCGCGGTGCGTCTCGGTCCGCCGCCCGCGTCTTCCTGGTCTGCAGACCAGGAAGACACGGAGCAAAGCCGCGGAGGACCCAGGCGGCGGGACCGCGGTGCGTCTCGGTCCGCCGCCCGCGTCTTCCTGGTCTGCAGACCAGGAAGACACGGAGCAAAGCCGCGGAGGACCCAGGCGGCGGGACCGCGGTGCGTCTCGGTCCGCCGCCCGCGTCTTCCTGGTCTGCAGACCAGGAAGACACGGAGCAAAGCCGCGGAGGACCCAGGCGGCGGGACCGCGGTGCGTCTCGGTCCGCCGCCCGCGTCTTCCTGGTCTGCAGACCAGGAAGACACGGAGCAAAGCCGCGGAGGACCCAGGCGGCGGGACCGCGGTGCGTCTCGGTCCGCCGCCCGCGTCTTCCTGGTCTGCAGACCAGGGAGACGCAGAGAAAGCCCCTGGAGCACACGGGCGGCAGGACCACGAGGTCCCGCAGTCCGTGTCCTCCGGGGCAGCCCCGTTCGTAACTGCGGATCCGACATAAGTCGGGGACTGCCTGTACTATGCTAAAAATGGCATTCCCACTTAGGAGCAGGCACTCTGACACTCAGGGTGTGTCTAAACTACATGGCTCCATCGATGGAGCCATGTAGATTAGGCTGATCGGCAAAGGGAAATGAAGCCGCGATTTAAATAATCGCGGCTTCATTTAAATTTAAATGGATGCTGCGCTGAGCCGACAAACAGCTGATCAGCTGTTTGTCGGCTCAGCGCGCTAGTCTGGACGCTCCCGCGCCGACCTGAAAGCCCTTTATCGACCTCCCCGTTATGCCTTGTAGGATGAGGTTTACCGGGGAGGTCGATAAAGGGATTTCATGTCGGCAGGGGAGCATCCAGACTGCCCTGATCTGCTGACAAACAGCAGATTGACAGAGCGGGGCAGCCATTTAAATTTAAATGAAGCCGTGATTATTTAAATTGCGGCTTCATTTCCCTTTGCCGAACAAACAAATCTACATGGCTCCGTCGACAGAGCCGTGTAGTTTAGACATACCCTCAGTGACAATATTTCTATTCTTACAAAAAATTCCATGGGATTTTTGAAATCCACTAGTGGTCTGAACTTGGAAACTATGTCTTACATAAGAGGGCTTCCCTAGCAGTGCAATACATTTTGGCTCAATGCTGAAACATTGGCTTGCTAGTACTAACTTGAGAGACTGTCTCATAAAACAGTGTAGCAGGATTCCTTGGGGTTGACAAAATCAAATGGATTTGGTATGACATTTTAGTTTTAAATGCTATATTTTATTTCTTTTGCAGATGGACATTAATTCAATATAGTTTTAGTCTTTAATTTCCTTTTTTTGGGACAATTGTGTGTCTGGATGTATTTAGAAAGATAAAAATTGTATTGACTTTTAGCAGTCCTTGAAGTGTCTTTAGATTGCTTATATTCTCAGTGCTCTGTAAATATTTACCAGAGTTCTATGTCTACTTTTCTTAAAACACAGTGATAGTATGCTATGAATGCATGTTCGTGACACTCCGCATTCCATTTTATGGATTTAGAATATAAACTACACAGAACATTCTTAATATGAAGTTACAAAATATACTCAGAAGCCCTTTTGAAAAGTATGTAAGGCATGGATCATTATTAATATTATCAAATGTTTAGTTAAAATTATGTTTGAAAGATAAATATTCTACATATGCAGTAGCAATTTTCAAAACCTTCCTATCTACGTGTTTCCTTTTTTAATTTCAAAAGGAATTGGTCTACAATGAAAGCATAAGACATAAAACATTTTATGAACTTTAACCTGTCTGATCCTCAGCTTCCCATTTGCACGATGGAAGTTGTCTACTTTCCAACATATCTGGGTCCTGGCTATCAGAGGTGTCGAATGTCCAGAGTTCCTATTGACTTAGCTGGAATTGTCGGTATTCAGAAATTCCGAAAAGCAGTTGTTAGAACATTAAATCCTCAGACGGAAGTAGTATAGAAATGTAATTTACTATACAAATAATAAAACTTCTGGCACCAGTGATGAGAAAATATCCCCTAAATTTGCAAAGCTGGCATGCAAGGACTTAGCTCAGCAACTGCACAGCTAATTCTCACTATGTTGATTTGAAAATGTTTTTTTTAAATTTCTATTTGAAAGTAAGCTTATAACTAACATGTTTTGTAAATTATTTTTAAACATGGAAGAGTCAAATAAATCACCATAAGCAAAAATATAGAAACAACATACTGTAGTACCAAAATGTAAACACATTAATGCTACAAACAATAGTGTTAGTAAAGATCCCTTTTAACAAAACAGAGAAGGAGAACTGGAGCAGTGAATGGAAAGATGTTATGATCACTGTATTACATTATAGCAGAAATAGTGAAAAAAACTTGACTATAGTTTTGCCAGTCAGGTTTCTTATTGTTCAACTTACTGTGCTATTTGACATCTATTGAATTAATCTGAATTCATTTTAAGCACGAAGATTTAATGATGCTAAGTAAGAGATAGTTGGGTATACATTAGGGAACATGCAAAACAGTTGGAGATCTGAAAAGTAATGAAGTAGTCAATGTATTATAAGGTGATATGTTAGACACAACTTGCAGTGTAGTTAACATTGATTTTGCACACTAGAATAACTTTATTTTATTTATTTTTATTTTGGACTCTCTCCTTTCTGTTGATTTTTGTTAGGTAGGTAATATTGCTGAATATTTAAAGGAACAATACTTTCCATTTTAGCTGGAAGTTCCATTATTATGGAGCGTTTTTCCTTCATATTTATTGTGTGGTTTTTTAAATGATATTCCTGATATTTTAATGTGCCAAAAATATGGTGTTTAAGTAGCATCTGTCTTTGATTCAGCAGATGATTTTGTCAATTTATAAAACATTTATAAATTGTATGATGCACTAAAAAATTCAATTTCTATAGTGTTGGTAAATAAATAATACTGTTGGTGGAAAATTTGTAAAACCTTGTGTTTGTAATGGCCCAAATCTGCTTCACAGTCAGCCTGTATTCCTTGTTGTTTAATAGCCTATGGCATAAATTGAAGTTAATTATCAGGGCTGACAAGTAACTCTGCTTTCTGTCTGCTGGCAGAGTCTCTCTGAGGCAAAGATGGAGCTGAGAAGAAAAGATCAATCTCTGCGTCAGCTCAATAGACATCTTACCCAGCTGGAGCAGGACAAGCGTCGACTGGAAGAGAGCATCCATGATGCAGAGAGTGCCCTCCGCATGGCAGCAAAGTGAGCACTGGGACCTTAGGGAGATCACTTAAAACAGACAAAAGATCAATTCTTACTTTCATGCGCAGGGCTTTAGTCCTGGATAATGCAGTGGTAAAAAACAAAAGTAAAGCTCGCTCGCTCTTTGAAATGCAGTGATATATCCTCTAAAAAGAAAAGTCTTAGTTCAGTCTACTAAGTGTGTATTTTATATAAAAAAAATCCCACACAAGTGCTTCACTATCTCTGTCCTGTAATAGCAAGAGCATTTCTGGTTGCCTGCTACAAGTTGGTCCCCAAGTGGTATTCCTATGGGTGCTCCAGTTCGGTGCACATGCACCCCTGCACCTTTGATGGGAGATTTTCAGTACCAGTAACTGACCTACGCATGTGCCCTGTACATCCTTGTGCACCTTACCGAGGAAACCATGTGGGTGACCTGCCCTTAGTTCCATATTTGCAGTGTTTGGCCTGAGATAGTGATGAGCATGCTCACTTACTGTAGCTTAGCTTCTACTATAGTTAGTGTTAGTTTAGTTTATTATAGTTTATTGGGATCATTATTTTCCCTTGATCGTTCATCTGTGATTGAGGAGTTAGTCCAGACTTTTCTGGAATGCCAGGCTCCTGAGGCTTAGGCCACGTCTATACTTCTGAATCAATCTTCTGGAGTTCGATTAATGAGTCTAATAAGGACCTGCTAAATTGAACGCTGAAGGTGAGCTGGTGGGCACCAGTACTACTCCTCACAAGCAGTAAGGGAAATCAACAGGAGTGTTTCTCTCATCAACTTCCTGCTGTGGGGATGGCACCAAAGTTCGAATCAAGGTATGTTGACTCCAGCTGCGCAATTAACATAGCTGGAGTTGTGTATCTTCATTAGAATTTATTCCTTAGTGTAGGCCTGGCCTTAGAAGGAAGCTATGCCAGTTAGCAGTGGAGGCTCTCAGTACCTCCAGTGTTTAGGAGACACTGATGTCCCCAGTATGTGTAAGACACTGAGGTCCCCAAGCACGTCCTTCAAAAGCAGATCTCAAAAACAAACAAACAAAAAAAACCCAGGAGATCAAATTCTCATTACTAAATTTGGAGCAAGCTCTAATATTGACTTCTGACCCCCTTTGTAAACAAGCCCTTGAGTTCTGCTAATGCCCTTGTGCTTCAAGATTCTAGTCACCAAGGGTGTGTCTAGACTACTGAGTTTTGTCGACAAAAGTGGACTTTTGTCGACAAAACTATACCAGCGTCTACACTACCGCTGAGTTCTGTCGACATAACGTCGACAGAACTCAACAGTTTTGTCGACGCTGGTAAACCTCATTTTACGAGGCATAACACCTTCTGTCGACAGAAGGTGTTATTGCCTGTAGGGTTGCATCTAGACTACAGGGTTTTGTCGACAAAGCAGTTTGCTTTGTCGACAGAACTGAATGTGTCTAGACGCTCTATGTCGACAGAAGTTTTGTCGACAGTATCTGTCGACAAAACTTCCGTTGACAAAACCCTGTAGTCTAGACGTACCCCAAGAGCCTTAAGAGATACAAGTGCAGCTGCATAATCCACCTCTAGGTCTTGGTCCCAGAAGGCCTGAGGAGAGGCAGCATCCATATCAGTGCCTGCAGAACAGAGAGCATCACACTGCATCTTGAGGTACAGACAAGAAAAGTAGGGTATACTAGATCTCCTAAGAAATCTCAGGTTCATAGTCAAAAGAAGGCTCCAGAGACCTCCAGTCCAAGAGAGTTCCAGTGAATGGCTTCAGCACCATTAGAGCATCTAAAGTACAGATGGGCAAGATATGTCTCTCAGGCTGGATCTGGACTTCTGAGCAACCGGACCACCTTGCTGGGATCCTCAGGCATGCAGCAGCCACTGTGTTAAACGCAGGATTCCTTCGTGTGGCTTCTCTGCTCAGGAGGGAAGTAGAGGCTTTGTGTGATTTCCTGACCCCAGCCCAATCCTCAGCTCCTATTAGTCAGAAACAACTGGCTAATAGGAACTGACCTCAGCCAATCTCTCAGCTCCTATTGGCCAGAATCAACTAGCTAATGGGAGCTGTCAGCACAAGCCTCTCCCCATCCTGGAGTTGAGAGCCACATGCAGGGAACTGCCTGAAGTTTTAAGTGTTCTGGGGCTGCAGCAGGCAGGGAGCCCAGCCTACTTTGGGGATGCTGCATGGCTGCTGGCTGGAAAATGCTTAGGTAAAAGCCTCTCAGCCAAAGCCTGCCTCTGTCACCCCTGCCCCTCCAGCACCTCAATTCCCTGCTTCAGGTCACCATCCAAACCCTCTGCCCCCCCCACCCCAGGTCACAACTCCCCGCCCAGACCCTGTACCCCCTCCTACATCTCTCTCCCAGGCCAGAATCTTCTCCTGCACTCACACTCCCTCCCTGACCCTATACCCCAGTCCCCTGATGCAGGTCACAACCCCTCCTTCACCCAAACTCTGTCTGACCTCATGCTGTCTCCTGCACCTCAGTCCTTACTTATCCTGTGCGCTCTTCTGCACCCAGCCTCTATCCTAGACCCCGCATCTTCTCCACAAAAAAGTGAAGCCCTTGACCACTTTCCAAAATCTTAGACTGGTCCCCCACCAAAAATTATTGCCCATCCCTGATCTAAAGCGTCCTCTACAACTCATACTTCAAAAAATAATTGGTACAGAGGACCTGTTTGGACAGCTATACCCAGGCTATCAAATGTTCTGTCTTAAAGTGTTCATTGGACCCTGCCGTATCTCTGGTACCTATACCATCATCTCTTACCTGTGCATTGAAACCAACAGAGTCAGACTCTGGACAGTCTGTATATATGGCATTAGTGCTGAGGCCGGTCTGCACAGGATCTCTCCTAACTCCAGTCAGTGTACTTTCAGTACTATAGCAATTTAGATACTCAAAAGGCTTCCTTGTTTCCAGTGAGCCAGAATCCTCATTGTGGGTTAAAAGTTGAGAAGAATCTAAGAATAATACTTTCTGTATTGTTTAAAAACATATATGATATGAAATTGTTGATAAGCTATTGAGATTGGAAGAAAATTAGCCTGTCTTTACTAAAGCCTCTGGTTTACTAAGGCTTCATTTTTCTTTCTTTTAATAGAGATAAAGAATTAATTGCCAGTCATATGAAATCAGTGGAAGCCACCCTACAGAAGGTGATGTATTTAGCATTTTCATCTCAATTTCATTTTTATTTCAAGACATGCCAAGCACTTGGAATTGTCTATTTTCAGGAAGGCTGATGGTAGGAGTGGTTACAATTATACAAAGACATATTCATAATTATATTTAGAGTACCAAAAGATCTCCCCTTCAACTTCTTTTTGTCTCCAAGGTAGCATTTAGATAAGCAAGCCAAATATCATCATACTATTCTAAGCAGGTAAGTTCCTTTTATTTTTAATAGGAAAGTTGTTACAAACCCTTTCCCTGCAGTACTGTTTATGCTTGCTAAAGTAAATTAGGATGTTACTGATCATCCCAAACTATTTGTAATTGCTCTTGAATTATCTCTGTAATTCACTGAGTGATGCAGAGGTCATTCAGCAAGGTCCCATATCAAGTGGTCATAAAGAATTTGACTTCATATGCTGTACTTTAATCTTTGTAATAATTAAATAGAATTAGAGCAAAGGGTGAACTCTGATGCACAATCTGAAATATCACAGTGATTTTAAACCATTTTTTAAATTGAATAGCAATCTAAAGTTGACCCTTTAGCTTGTATTATTTTGCTGCATTGCTGTGTTATCATGAATATCAGCAAGGCTGAATATATTAAGTCTTTCTCTCTCCTTTTTTTTAATTACAGATCCTATTGACATTTTATGGGTATTTTTCCTTTTGACTACAGTGGAAATGAGTTATATTTCTATTATCTTGGCATGTTAATTTTCCTGCTATCAAATCGAAACCCCAAGCATCAAAGTATAAATATATTCTTAAATTTTATTTTTTGTAACAACCAGAACTGTCAAAAGCTTCTGTTCACTTATTTTTCACTTATATTACTCTTTTCATAGAGAATTACCTCTGCACCTCAAGTCCCAACATCTAGGAAGCATGCAACATCCACCTATGCAACAGCCACATATCTACATGTTCAGAATTCTTTTTTTTATGCACAGAACCCCAAATCTGTATCTCCAGCATCCTAGCTTTTCTGTAGCAAGGTGGAGTAGGTATGGACCTGAGACCAGTAATGGTAAATTAAGCATTGTTCAGCCATCAGAAGTGTTCAGGGTTCAAATTGTCACTTATGGATCACTCACAAGGGTTGGAGTGGTAAGTCTTCTTTCTAGGTGAGCTAGGATGTCTTTCTCAAATATAAACTCTCAGAAGTTCTCTAGGTCCTAATTAAGTATAAGTTCAATTATATACACCAAGGTGGGTGACAGACTTTGCCAGGTCTTGGGTGGGGCCTTGGGTGGAAGGGGCAGGGCTAGGGGCATTCAGTCCTCAGCACTGCCCAATCCATGCCACTGGAGTGATGGTGGCAACTGAGAATGCCGGACCCTTTTAAATCATTGGGCCCTACAGCAACTGTCCTTACCCACACATACCTGAGCCCTGACACACACACACACACACACACACACACACACACACCCCTATGTTAAGAGAACATTATTGCGATTGGAAAGCCAAGCACTCAAAAATCAGGGAACAACAAAATTGAAGTTGTCTGTACATTCTGGGCCCCTCGTAAGTAATTAATATGACTCAGGCCACGTCTAGACTATGGAGAAGATCGACGCTGTGATGGTCGATCTTCTGGCATTCAGTTTAGCAGGTCTAGTCAAGATTTGCTAAAGTGAATGCTCAGTGTGACCCTGTTGATGCTGAGACTTCTACTCCTCACAAGCAGTAAGAGGAGTTGAGGGGAGTGTTTCTCCCATTGACCTGCTACTGTGAGGACAGTGCTGAAGCTTGACGTAAAGTATGTCAATGACAGCTACTTTTTCTACATAGCTGGAATTGTGTACCTTAAGCCAACCTTTGGCTACAGTGTAGACCTGGCCCCAGTCTTTGTTTACATTGTCACATATTATTTTCCATGGGATTCTTCCTCTATCAGTATGCAGGATGGATGGTACTCACTTGATGAGCAGCTATTTATTATTTAGCGTTATCCTTTTTCTGTTGTTGTCGTCATCATCATCATCATCATCATCATCATCAACAACCATGGTCTCATCGCCCATTGGTGCCTCCCTCACTATTTCCTTCCATCTTTCCCTGCCCAGTGCGGAGCGGCTTAGTTTCTGTAGACTAGCTCCGCACCAATCTACTGTATCATCTACCCATTCTCGTGCAGTCTACCTCTCTTGTTCTGTGAGTGGCCCTATATTTTATTTTCTGCGTGCTATTTAGTACCTGCTCCGAAGATAGAATTATAAACTTCCTCATGTGTTTTTCTGTGGCACTAAGGTTCCCCTAAAGTGAGGGGACAGTGGTATTATCCCCATTTTAGAGATGGGGAGCTGAAGCACAGAGAATAAAATTAAAGGTTTACATTAATTTTGGGTGCCCAATTTAAGACACCTGGGAACTGATTTTTTCAGAATGTTTAGAATTATATAGTATTTTCTATATTCAAAGCATAGCTCTCACATGACTCCCTTTGCAGCTGTGAATACCCAGCAATTCTGCAAATCAGACCCCAGTTTATCCAATTGGTTGCAGAACTCATGGTATCATAGTCCAACTTGTGCAAGGGGATGGCTATGTTGAGGCAATATTCTCTTAAAAATCACTTTCCACAGAATATCTATCTGTCTGTCTATATCCTAAAATATTAGTATATTGATATTAGTATATATTCAGACAGATACATTGGACTTTTCTGTATCCTTCATTTGGATGGTAAGAACATTTGTCATTTTTGCTGACAACCCATACTGAAAATTCTTTATACAGAATTCTTTGTTTTTTCTGCATTGGTGGGCTTTTATTAGATAAATCTACCTATTAAAAGAATCTTAAATTGATTAATCAGAAAGGGCCTCTGCCTTCCTACTCCAGGTTACAAAAGTACGGTTGCTTTTATTAGGTTGGCATTTGGTCTGAAATTCAGATGTCTGTTCATCCTCAAAGTGGAAGGCTAATTGTTTGGAAGGTAGGGAAATAAGTTAGAGTTTTACAAGCTCTGAGTGAATACAATTTGATTTTGTGGACTAGTTTCTTTGTGTGGACTATGGTTGGTTGGCTACTGATTGTTTGCACTGGCTTGCATTTTTAGTTATTTCTCCAGGGCACCTCGAGCTTGGGATAATTATTCTTTTATGTTTCATACATTGAAATGTTTGTTTTTATTTATACTGGAGACCAGCTGTCTTTTGGGGTTGATTGGAAAAACAGAACAGAAACATAGTTGTTAATCTAAAATACTATTGACATATTATATCTTAAGCATTTTTATGTCAATGAAAAATAATTATTTTTTGCATAATGAGGACTGGTTCTTTTTAACTGGAGTACCTCAGAAGCCAGAGAATTTACATTAAAGCTCAAAGTTCTCATCTCTCGTAAGTTTACCACGAGACAGATGATATTTGCTGTTTTTCTTTAACTTCCCACTAGTGTACTAGAATTAAGTGATTTATATGATAATCAGGTGTTTCTTTAAAAAAAAAAAAGGCAAATTTTTAGTTCTCATGGGGGTGGAAAAAAGTTTGAAAACATGACATCAGTGTACTCCTGTATCAGGTTTTCACTCGCCACTGCTGGTGTGTCTGGGAATTAGCTCATCTTCGGCCTTAAAGTGCCTTCTACTGTCTGGTTTATTTCTTGCTGTTACCTGCTCCCTATCACTCTTCAGGCACACCTCCCTCCCAGACCACAGTTCCTGTTAGCTTGGGTGTAGCCCCAAGGAAGAATTCACACTTTGGACCACAGTTCCTGTTAGCTTGGGTGTAGCGCCAAGGAAGAATTCACACTTTGGGTGTCCTCCCCTCCCAGGGAACCCAATTACCCTGAGCCCTCCTTGCCTCAGTAAACCACTGCCAATCTTTATCAAACTGCAGTCTGAACTGGTCACTCATTGGCTAGGTGAGGAGTGGGGGGTGGACCTGCGATCTACTCCTGCTCTAGGTACTCCTTTGCATCCTTAGAACCTCCCTGGGCCCTTTGCACTGGGCCTCAGCCTGGGGTTTATTCAGAAGGAGCTCCCCTGGTTCACCCTGCCTTTCCCCAGTACTGCTCTGTTCAAGGTACCCTAAGTAGCAGGTAGCTAGGTTGCTTTCCCTCCAGATCTCGAGGGAAAATGAGTTCCCATAGGCGATCAGTGCTTTTATACAGCCCAGCTGGCCTCTGTTTGGGTGCCTCATGCCTCCTTCTAACTGGCTCCAGGGATGATTATCATCTACTCTGTTTTTAATCCCTTACAAAACAGAAAGGGGCAACCACCCCATTACAACCTGAAATGTGAAAAGCAGAAAACAAATTTTAAAAGGCTATGGAAAAAAAACCACTCATGATTTTAAGCCTATCACATGACTTTGAGGCCTGATTCATAATCTTGGAATTCTTGGAATTGGAAATACTGTAAGCCATTTCATACTGGGAACAAGGTAGTATTAACCACAACTGTATTTACAGTGGGCATCTATGCCAGGATTAGATCACCCCATTTTTATTTTAAATAATTTGACTCTAGAAAAATGTGACTTTACACAGTTTCTAAAGAAAGATCTTTGGTCAGCAAAATTCTCCTAGACTCATATTTCGTCTTCAATTCATTGTTGTAAAATCTAAAATACCATTATGAAATGTATGCTGTTATAATCCAGTTTTTCATAGGTTATACTTAGCATTCACTCATCTCTTCATCTGTAACTGTTCATGGTTTTCTTGGCAAAACTTTTTTTAATGTTTATTTAAAACTCTAATAGTATATAATATTTTTATTATAAAATCTCAAGCTTTTCCCTCTCAAAAGATCATAAATATTTTAGTGTGCGTAATATGTAGTATTTATGTTGACAAACCATATTTCATTAATACTTTATATATTTCCGAGTAATAGTAGTATGTTTATCACATTACTGCACATGCTAAACCTATTCTTTTTACTGACTAGCTTTATAAATACAGTGCTTGTGAATTACCCATTATAATCAGATAACCAGCCAAAGCAATATTGGGGCTCCAGCTC